AAAAAAAAAAAAAAAAAAAAAAAAAAAAAAGGAATAGGGCCAGACGAAGTGGCTCACACCTCTTTAGTCCCAGCTATTTGGGAGGCTGAGGTGGGAGGATTGCTTGAGCCCAAGTGCTCGAGGCTTCAGTCAGCTGTGATTGAACCACTGCACTCCATCCTGGAAAACAGAATGATACCCTGTCTCCAAACACACACACACACACACACACACACACACACACACACATACACACACGTCATTTTTTGAGTCAGTGAATGAAATAACATATATTCTTCAGTAAAGTTTAATAGTTGTCTGCTTAATTATATTAATTTTATCCCTAGAAATGTACTTTGCTGCTATTGTGAAAGGTATTGTTTCTCAGTTAAGTTTTTTTTTTTTTTTTTGAGACAGTCTCACTGTGTCACCCAGGCTAGAGTGAAATGGTGCAATCTCAGCTCACTGCAACCTCTGCCCCTCAGGTTCAAGTGATTCTCCTGCCTCAGCCTCCTGGGTAGCTGGGATTACAGGCACCTGCCACCATACTCAGCTACTTTTTTGTATTTTTAGTAGAGATGGGGTTTCACTGTGTTAGCCAGGATGGTCTTGATCTCTTGACCTTGTGATCTGCTGGGATAACAGGCATCAGTCACTGTGCCCAGCCTACAAAGACATTTTTAAGCAAAAAATTAACTTCAACTCCATCACCTGCCATGACAGCCATGGTTTTGGAGCCTTCAGTAATGGAGTTGTTACTGAAGAAACACAACATTTAAAAACCTGGGTGCAGGGCGCAGTGGCCCATATCTGTAAACCCAGCAATTTGGGAGGCCAAGGCAGATGGATTGCTTAAGCCCAGGAGTTCGAGACCAGCCTGGGCAATGTGACAAAACTCTATCTCTACTAAAAATACAAAAATTAGCAGCGCGTGGTGGTGCATGCTTGTAACCCCAGCTACTTGGGAGGCTGAGCCTGGGAGGTGGAGGTTGCAGTGAGCCGAGTTGGCAACATTGCACTCCAGCCTGGGCAATGGGAGTGAAACTCTGTTTTTTTAAAACAAACAAACAAACAAACAAAAACAAAATCTATGGCCAGGCACGGTAGCTGACACCTGTTATCCCAGTACTTTGGGAGGTTGAGGCAGGTGGATCACCTGAGGTCAGGAGTTTGAGACCAGCCTGGCCAATATAGTGAAACTCTGTCTCTACTAAAAATATAACAATTAGCTGGACATTGTGGTGGGCGCCTGTAATCCCAGCTGCTTGGGAGGCTGAGACAGGAGAATCGCTTGAACCCAGGAGGTGGAGGTTGCAGTGAGTAAAGACTGTGCCACTGTAGTCCAGCCTGTGCTACACAGCGGGACTCCGTATTGAAAAAGAAAAAAAAAAAACTGCATAAAATTAAGAAAATAAATTCTGCCCCTTTGAAAATCGCTACAGTGTTCAATCTCCTGTAAGTTTTTCTTCATTCTGCCTTTTTAAAAATGGGGTCACAATTGACATATGCACATATATGGTTTTCAGTCACATTTTATAGTATCTGACCTCATTTGTCTTAAAGGATTTTATCCTGGAGCATTACAGTGAAGATGGCTATTTATATGAAGATGAAATCGCAGATCTTATGGATCTGAGACAAGTAAGTTCTTGTGTGCAGCAGAGAGGGGAGGGTGGCTCTTCTGAGTCTTCAGGACACCCCATTATTGCATGCTTGTGAATTGCAGGTGGATGGAGGTGATGGTTGGGGGGTGCTGGAATCGCCCATTCCACTTGCTGCATAAGAAATCCGCAGAATTCTTCCCATGAAAAAGCAAGCTGATAGTGGAAAAAAAAAAAAAGAAAACCATAGAAGGGGCTGGGCACGGTGGCTCACATGTGTAATCCCAGCACTTTGGGAGGCCGAGGTGGGTGGATCATGAGGTCAGGAGTTCCAAGACTAGCCTGGTCAACATGGTGAAACCCCGTCTGTACTAAAAATACAAAAAATTAGCTGGGCATGGTGGCGTGTGCCTGTAATCCCAGCTACTCAGGAGGCTGAGGCAGGAGAATTGCCTGAACCCAGGAGGCGGAGGTTGCGGTGAGCCAAGATCGCGCCATTGCACTCCAGCCTGGGTAAC